CCTTCGGTCGTCACCGCACCAGTAGGTCCTTTTCCTTCCATCGGTAGACCTATTTCCCTCTCCCTCTCCCAGAAGGCCACGCTGGATCCACCCTTCGCTACGCCAGGCCCTTTAACTCCATAATTTTAGTAGCATCCCGCAGTCTGTTCAATGTATGTGCGTTATTTCTTCAAATTTTGGCTGTTTGATTGTGCTTACCAGTAACTAATTCATCAATTTCAATGGCACTTGGCAGACAGTGCAGCAATTTATCCTCATCAATTTGTGCAGCGACCTGAAAAAGCAAGATTTCACCTATGAGATATTAAAATTAATCAAAAAATGGCAAAACTGTCGAAAAAGATAAAATGGCAAAATTATAAAAAAATAAAAAAATGTAAGGGAACCACAAGAAAGGCTAAGGAGTTAAAAAAAAAACAAGAATGAAGTTACAAAAATAAGGAAGGCTAATGCAGCTACAAATGAAGGACCGTGATTTTTCTTTTAAAAAAATTACGATTTTATGGTTTCAAATAAAGGATTTCAAATTTTTACTGAGATTTTTGGAATTTTTGAAAGACTAAAAAAAATAGCAGAATCTGAACGGAAAAAGTAACAATCTGAAATCACTTACACTGTTCGATATCAATTCCTTTACATAATCCACCAAACTGACTCCTGATCTTATCAAACGCATCAATAAATCAATTTTCGGCGTATTAACATACTCGCTGAGGTACAGTGGGGGTGGTGATTGCAACATCTGTGGCTGAAACACAAAAATAAGTGGCGAAATTTATCAGGGCACACTGGAAACAACAGTCTGATCTTGTCTTGTTTAGTTCATCGGCTCTTTGGGCTACTCGCAGTTCAATTTCGATTCGAAAAACTTTCAAGAAAAAAAAAACAAAGTGGCAAAACTGATAAAAAAAATAAGAAAGTTGCTAATGAAGCTCCAAAAATAGGAAATTATAATTTTTTTTTAAAAAAAAATTTAGGATTTTATAGTTTCAAATAAGAGATGTAAGGGGAGAGGGAGAGGTCGGGGAGGAAGGAAGGATGGAGAGTTGGGAGGGAAAAAAACAGGGAGGATGCAGAGCAGCTGTTTTCTTTTGCTTTAGTAGAAAGATCTAAAATCGACGAAAAATGGGATACGCCTTTCACTCCCCCTTTCTTTTGCCAGAAACTACGGTAGCTGCTAAAACCCGGCCTGGCTCGGCTCATTTGGGCTTGCATCGGTCAATACACGATTTGCGATCTGACTCGCGGATGGTATGATGAGGGAGAGGGAAGGAGAAGGAGG